CTCGAGCTGCTGTCACTGGTATTAGCAAAAGAAAGTGTAACATGGGATGTTTTAAAATTAAGAGCCTTAAATTTTATATTTAAGGAAATGACTTATTTATTGACCAATTTTTAACATTTATTTATTTGGTCTCATGATCTTTTAAAAATTTTTATTGAAATATATTTTATTTATAATGTTGTGTTAGTTTCAGATGTACAGCAAAGTGATTCAGTTATATATATATTCTTTTTTAGATTCTTTTCCATTACAGGTTATTATAAGATATTGAGTATAGTTCCCTGTTCTATACAGTAGGTCCTTGTTTATCTATTTTATTAGTAGTGTGCATATTTTATTTTATTTTATTTATTTATTTTTTGCGGTACGCGGGCCTCTCACTGTTGTGGCCTCTCCCGTTGTGCAGCACAGGCTCCGGACGCGCAGGCTCAGCGGCCATGGCTCACAGGCCCAGCCGCTCTGCGGCATGTGGGGTCTTCCCGGACCGGGGCACGAACCCGTGTCCCCTGCATCGGCAGGCGGACTCTCAACCACTGCGCCACCAGGGAAGCCCAGTAGTGTGTATATTTTAATACCAAACTCCTAGTTTACCCCTCCTCCCCCACCTTTCCCTTTTGGTAACCGTAAGTTTGTTTTCTATCTGTGAGTCTATTTCTGTTTTGTAAATAAGTTCATTCGCATCATTTTTTTAGATTCCACATATAAGTGATACCATATGATATTTGTCTTTCTCTGTCTGACTTACTTCACTTAGCATAATAATCTCTAGGTCCATCCACGTTGCTGCAAATGGCATTATTTCATTCTTTTTAAGGCTGAGTAATATTCCATTATGCATATGTACCACATCTTCTTTATCCATTCATCTGTCGATGGACATTTAGATTGCTTCCATGTCTTGGCTACTGTAAATAGAGCTGCAATGAACACTGGGGTGCATGTATCTTTTTGAATCATAGTTTTCTCCTGATATATGCCCAGGAATGGGATTGCTGGATCATATGGTATCTCTGTTTTTAGTTTTTTAAGGAACCTCTACACTGTTCTCCATAGTGGCTGCACCAATTTACATTCTTAGCAACAGTGTAGGAGGGTTCCTTTTCTCCACACCCTCTCCAGTATTTATTATTTATAGACTTTTTGATGATGGCCATTCTGACCGGTATGAGATGATACTTCATTTGTAGTCTTGATTTGCATTTCTCTAATAATTAACGATGCTGAGCATCTTTTCATGTGCCTGTTGGCCATCTGTATGTATTCTTTGGAGAAATGTCTATTTAGATCTTCTGCCCATTTTTTGATGGAGTTGTTTGTTTTTTTGATATCGAGCAATACGAGCTGTTTGTATATTTCTGAAATTGACCAATTTTATTTAAAATAATATTTATCCTTAAGATTATTACTAAATTGATTTTGGTTCTAGACTATTAGGAGTAGAGTCTAAGTGAAAGCCTGGTTCTTTTAACCACAACTGTGCATCTTAAAGCCTTACTATACCTATGGCAGCCTCCAAAAACTAAACAGTATTAAGAAACTTAGACACGTATAACAACAGTAATGCTAAACTCAGGGGAAAGAATAGGAACCGAATGAGAAAGAATTCGTAAGTTGTAAGGTTTAACCAAGCAGAGGGAGGACAAGGAAACTAATATTTATTAAGCATCTTTTAAAATGGTAGGCATTGTACTACATGTTTTACACATGTTATTTCATTTAATCCTTAGAACAACTCTGTGAATTAAGTGTTATTATTTCCAATTTAAAGATGAGACTTATTAAAATAACAATGAGGTACCACAATGCACCTATCAGAGTGGCCAAAGTCCAAGACACTGATAACACCAAGTGCTGACAAGGATGTGGAGCACCAGAAACTCTCTTTTAAAAGTGGTACAGCCACTTTGGAAGGCCATTTGGCTGTTTCTTATAAATATACTCTTAGCATATATCATCCAGCAACTGTGTTCCTTGGTATTTACCCAAATGAATTCAAAATTTATGTCCACACAAAAACTTGCACATGGATGCTCATAACAGCTTTATTCATAATTGCCAAAACTTGGAAGCAACCAAGACGTCTTTCAGTAGGTGACTGGATAAATAAACTGTGGTCCATCCAGACAATGGAATATTATTCAGCACTAAAAAGAAACGGTTATCAAGCCATGAAAAAACATGGAGGAATCTTAAATGCATATTAATAAGCAAAATAAGACAATCTGAAAAGGTTACATACTGTACAATTTCAGTTATATGACATTCTGGAAAAGGCAAAACTATGGAAACAGTAAAAAGATCAGTTGTTGCCAAGAATTAGGCAGGGAGGGATGAAAAGGAGGAGAACAGAGGATACGTAGGGCAGTAGAATTATTCTGTATACTGCAATGGTGGATACATGTCATTACACATTCTTTCAAACCTATAGAATGTACTGCACCAAGAGTGAACCCTAGTGTAAACTATGGATTTGGGGTGATAATGATGTGTCAATGCAGGTTCATCAATTGTAACAAATGTCCCACTCTGATGGGGGATGCTGATAATGGGGGAGGCTGTGCACGTATGGGAACAGAGGGTACCATGTACTTTCCACTCAATTTCTCTGTGAATCTAAAACTGCTCTAAAAAATAAATTCTATTTAAAAAAAGCACTCCCTCAAAAAAAGAGCACATACTTCCACCAAAACATGATACCCCATAAGTTAGAAAACTCACCAAGTCAAAAACCTTCTGTAATACCTTACTTTAGTTATTATCAAATCATCTTTCTGATTCTAGGGTTGGCAAGGTATCTAGATCTCCCTCAAGTATATGACTGGATTAGATAGTTCATTTTGAATCTTCATGTGATTTTTTTTTTTTTACTGCAGAGGATAAGTGGATGAGTATTGCCACAGTCTTGAAGCAGAATGGCAAAATTACTACCTTAAAAATAAATAAATAAAACTTACTGTAGCTGCTTTTTCAATCTTGGGAAATTGTCCAGTGTTTGGGAAGCCTCTTTGCAGATAGAATGTCTCTGGATAAGAGAGGTCGTGGTTTAAAAGGGATAAACTACTCTGTATGATAAAGTAAGAGGAGTTTTTAGTGTATTCTTGGAAGCACCAGAGGCAGGGTTTGGGGGTTATGAATTCAATAGAAAGAAATAAGAGGAAGGTTCTTCTTAAGGGGACAGCAGCTCTGGGAACATGGTGTCAGGTCAGGATTAGGGGAGAGAGAAAAGGACAAAGAGAGAGAAAGAAAGAGAGGGAGAGAGTGCCATATGATATGGAGGACAAGGAACTTTGGAAACAGTTGTCTGATAAACAACTTTAAGTTTATTCTTGTCCTGAGCATTAGCTCTCCTTTGTTATACCAGAATCATCAGTTAAAGACTATTGCATTGGATAACAGCATTCTGGGTAATGAGCATATGAAGGTGGGGTGGGGGAAGAACTAAATTGGGGAGGCGCTATGGCTTGGCAGGCAAAGCACAGAAGAAGCAGGACAGTGAATGGTAGCAGTCAAGACAAAAGGGCTGAAGGTGGAGGTGGGTTGGAAAGTATATAGTGACTTAAAGAAGGAGATGACAAAATGCAAGCCGACTGTATGTCTGGAGGTGTCTGCATTTGGGTGTCTGCTCTATGTCACCTCCTCAGAGAGGCCTTCTGTGATTCCTTCTCTGATTAAAAGTAGACCAACACAAGTCAAAATTCACTGCCCTAGTTGATCTTTATGGCACTTGTCATTGTTCATTTGTTTATCATAGGCCTTTCTCATCACACTAAAACAGTGGTTCACATCTGGGGGCAATTTGCCCCCCAGGGGACAGTCAGCAATATCTGGCGACCTTTTTTGGTTGTCACAACTAGAGTATGTTCTACTGGCATGTGGTGGGTAGAGGCCCTGAATGTTGCTCAACACCCTAGAGTGCCCAGGACAGCCTCTCCAAAGGAGTTACCTAGCACTGGCTATCAACAGAGCTGAGGATGAGAAAATGCACTAGAAGGAAAATTCCTGGAGGAAACGGACTTTATCTTGTGTGTTATGTATCCCTAGTACTTATAATAGGATCTGGGTACACAGTAGGTACTCAATAAGTATAAGTTGAAAGGTTAATCATTTAAATCCTCATTTTTCCAGCTTGAAAGAACCAGTTTCTCCTGGACTCATATTTGCTACCAGCTGTATGTCTATCTCTCCAGTTCGGATCAGAGCAATAATATAAAATATATGAAGAGACCCCTTTCCTATGCATCCAGACCAGGAGATGTCCTTCCACATCATTTCTCTCTGAAAATTCCCTCCAGTTAATCTGTACAGATTAAAGCATGGGCTTGGGGCAGTTATAAATATAGCCATAAATATCCTACCTATTTGAGTTGGGGGTTTGCAAAGAGAGTTCTATCTACGCTTACTCTCAAGTGATCGGGACACAAGGAACGCACAGCAAGCACATTGACAACTGACCAGAGCTGGGCCTGCAGTCTGAGTAATGAGCTCTAACAAGCCTGCAAACTCATCAACCTCCCACCCCAAAGCCCTCTAACCACTGAGCATCCAGACACAGGCCAAGGTCATATTTCTTCATTGGTGCCAGGCTACTCTTCTAAGAACATTATCTCTATTTCGGGCTGACAGACTTTTTCACTGGCATTAGCAGCATCATGCCTCCCCAACATTCAAGAAAATTGCAATGAACTTTTCAGAATTTCAAAGAAATGTAACTAAAGGTAGTGACCTGGACAGAAGCACGAAAGAGAATCCAACAGTAGAACCTAGTCATTTTCAAAACTGCTAGGGGGTATTCTCCCATTTAAAAAATCAGTATTATAATGAGAAGAAATAAAATCTTTGTTTTTATATTACTTGCTTGGGAAAACAACTGGTAGTCTGAATCAAAGACCAAAAGATTTGACCATGATGACTGAAAAGCTGCCCCAGGAAATGGCTCATCCACATAACAAGCAAACTTCATTAGACAAGGTCAGGGCACCATCAGTGCCCCTTTGGGTTACCTGACTTTCTCGTTGGTCCCACTGACATATCTGCAGAACCTGACTCAATTCCTGCTGCTGTTGCTTCAGGTACTTGTCTAATTGCCGTCTCCTGTCTTGGAGAAGTTCAAGAAGACTGTCAATCTTCAGGCAGCTGTTTTGAGCTCCCTGAATCATCTCGGGATTCACAATAGGTCCATCACACTTGATTTTTTCTATGAAGTCAGTGAGTTGTTGACTTTTGTTTAAAAGGGCTAGAGATCGTTCTAAGAGTTCTAGAAGAAAATTAGAAAAAAGAATAGTGATATGAGCAAGTTTTTATATAGTAATATTTGGATTCATCATATAATTTAAAATATATGTAACCTTCTATTAAAAATAAGGAATTCAAATGTGTAAACATAAAATGCCTCCAATACAACTGGTCAAATACCTTGGCCTAACTGCTATGGCGCTAACTGCCAAATGGTAGGATGCCGAAGTTCAGTGATGGCATAAATCAGTACAGGGGAGTGGAAAGACTGTGAGATTTGGGCACTGGTTCAGTTGGTTTTTAGTGGTGATATGCTGGTTAAGGTGCCTACTCTCCTTGTAGTGCTCTACATCCTGAGGTGATTGGACTAAATCTGAGGTTTAAAGGCTAATGACTGCAGTAACCAAACAAAAGCTCAGTGAATATGCGGGCCAGGTACCCAGACGTCAGGGACTATGACAAAGTGGAAAATACATGACCAGTCTCACAGGATCTGCTGTCACTCAGTGTCGACCAACTGTGGACATGAGGAAATACAGGGTCAGTGTTGATGGGGCTTCCAATTTTTAAAGAATTATAAACACGGATTTTTATGTGAAAGCTTCTGATTTTTAACTGTTGTGTAATTGGTATTTTTTAAATTAAAAAATACTGAAGGATCAACAAAACATGGCTCTCTGGCAAATGGGCCACTGGTTTGCGCTCTCTGGAGTAGACAGCATTATTGGTGTGGGCAACATCTGGTAGAAATGGGAGCTTAAGCCTGAAAACTGAAGGACTACCAAGGGAAAGAGTATAGATGGGGGAGTTGAGAGTAGCACTTTGAGGGTCCCCAACCTCACTTGGGGATCCATTGGAAGAGCCCTTGGGAAACTATCCATTCCCCACAAGCCAGAAAACGTCATCTGTTTCCTGGATTTGTGCAGTCACCTCTTAATTGCATCTCCTCTCCAATCCATTTCATCCATTCTCCATATATTAGAAAGATCATTTCTAAACACTCTCTCTCTCTCTCTCTCTCTCTCTCTCTCTCTCACACACACACACACACACACACACACACATACATCAATGGCTTCCCAGTGTCTTAGAATTAAGGACAGACCCCTTAACATGATTTCAGTTCTGGCATGGTCTGGTCCTTATTTTCCCTTTCAGATTGTCTCAACCTCTTTACCTCCATCCATATCTTCTTTAAATACCTCACACATGGTATACTCCTTGTTGCCCCAGAACTTTTTACTACATTCTCTGCCAGGGATACCATTCTCCTCAACACATTCCTTCTCCACCTTTATTCTACTCATACTTCAGGTCTTAGTCAATTGTCAATTCCTCAAAGGACAAACCAGACTGGACCAAATCCTCCTATTAAGTGTTCTCATAGCCGGATGTTCCTCTCATTCACAGCTGTTATCACAGCTATAGTTCTACATTTATGCATTGGGTTAGCTGACTAAAATCTGTCTTTGCCACTAGGCTCCAATGCACATATGAGGACAGGGACGGTGACAGTATCCTCAGCACTAGCATAGTGACTGGCACAGGGGAGGTATTTGATAATTTTGTATAATGCTAGAATGAAATCAAATGTATTAAAAGAGGGGGAAGAATTAGAGCTATAGGTGCTAGAGATCAGCAGTCTGCCAGAGGTGTAAAAACAGAGATGTTGGGAAGACTTGGGGTTTTGTGACGGGTAAGTGATAGAAACAGAAGCCAAGTTACCAGGTTGAGAAGTGGGAAGGCAGTGATGAAGTGAAAGCAACAGGAAAGGACAATCTTTGAGACATTTGTTGTTAGAAGAAAAAAAAAAAGGATAGACTGTCAGCAAGGTTGAATACACTGCTTTTTATTTTTAGATGGGAGAACTATGAAGAACACCCAGCAAATAAGCATGTCACACTATTAGAAATGGACTTATCAGTGCTAAAAGCCATGCATTCTGGTTAGTAGCTCAGCGTTCTTCCCACTGCGCTGTGGCACTTCTTTAGCATTCTAGCATCTGACAGCTAAACAACACAGCAATGACTGTGGTATTTGGGTCGATTGTCTCTTTAAACTGACACCTTTTTTTGAGAGATGAAGAGAGACTGAGATAAGGGAATATGCTGTAAAGAGATATTTTGAGATAAAAAGGAAAGAATTTCAAACCGTTTATGCCATATGACCTAGGTCTGTCCAATAAAGTATTAGATGGTGCTATCTGCTCAGAGTAAGAAAGGTGTGATTAGGTGCACTGGGCAATTTGATTGAGGATTAATAATACAAAAAAACAAACAACAAAAACAACCATATTCTTGGAAGCAGGACAGGGAATGGGATAAGTCAAGCAGACGAAGAAAAGTCAGGGAGAGCATTCCAATTAAAGTAAATCTCTTAAAAGGAGAAGTGGAAACAAACATGAACAAGATGAGAGGGACAGAGGCAGAAAAAACCTGTCTAGAAAAAATTCTTACGTGGAAGGGAAAGAAAGAACTTGAAAATGAGGTGAAAACAAGTTATAGAAGTCCTTGGCTATCAAACTGAAGAGTTTTGATTTGTAGAGTCTCAATGTGCTCATCAGTATAATTGATCCTCATATGTAGGTATACATATTTCCTTTACGTTCGAGAATTTGTTATGATATCGTGAACAGTTACATACATACACACACACACACACGTGCGCGCGCACACACACGCACACACACACACACAGGAAGTATGGGCAGGTGGCGGGGTTTCCACGTAGTACTTCTTTTCTTCCTTTCATTAACTAGCTCTTTCACAACAGGCTTTTCAAATGAAAGAGGGAAGCACAGCTTTCCATGCTCAGGGTATTGCAGCCTGACAATGGGTCAGGCCAACCTGTTCTAGTCCCCACAAAATACATATAATTAGCCAAAATTTCCATTTGCAATCTTTTTCTGGTTTTTTGTTTCAACTTTTGCCAAAATGGTATAACCACCACCATGGTACCACCAGGCATGCAGCCTCCTGAGCCCAAGTTAACGTGTACAAATGCACCCAGCCTATGGTCAGTCTGTTACCTGTTACTACAGTGGTGCTTAAAGTGGATCAATTGTTCTCTAAGTTTCCTCTGTCAGCTTCTTACATCTTACTATTTTTTTTTTCACTGTTTATGCTTCCCTAGCTATTTATTCCATCAGTTGATCATACAAAGTGATGCATTTTTCCTCAGGGGTAAACTACCTAGATATATCATGAACTTCAAGAAATACAAAATCTCTACAGTGCATTTATTTTAATGATTGTATTGTTCTCTATATACAAGCCCCGCTTATGACATAATACCTTGTGATGTAAGGCTAGTAAATAAATTTTTGTTGTTTAACTGTTTTCATTGTAATTATACCTAAAATATTATTGAAGTATACTTTATATTAATAACTTTACAGTTTGTCATCAATATTAAGTATAAATAACTAACTTAAGATGGATAAATGAGAGATGTACACAAGTCAAAGTGAATTTATAGCTTGCTAACCTTTCCAAATGAGTATTTTCTAAAAAGCATCAAGGTCACATTCTGACACTGGGAACATGGGTGACATTTCTTCCAAATACATTTTTAAATATTCCAAATATTACTCAATGAGATGGTGTTTCTTAAACTCATTAATGGGTATTTTAAAATATACACAAACATAGAGAAAATAGTATAATAGACCCCAAAGTACCTATATCTCAGCTGCATTTAAAATATACATAGAACATCTAAGAAAAAGGAAGTAATAATATGATTATTCCTGTGAGGAAGCTTCTTAGGCGCTATGTTCATTTTTAAAAGGCCATTGGGGGCTTCCCTGGTGGCGCAGTGGTTGAGAGTCCACCTGCTGATGCAGGGGACACGGGCTCGTACCCCGGTCCAGGAAGATCCCACATGCCGCGGAGCGGCTGGGCCCGTGGGCCATGGCCGCTGAGCCTGCGCATCCGGAGACTGTGCTCCGCAACGGGAGAGGCCACAACAGTGAGAGGCCCGCGTACCACAAAAAAAAAAAAAAAAAAAAAAAGAAGGCCATTGGAAAACTGGAAGGTGCAATTGTGATTCTTCAGGGTTTATAACCAATTTTCTCCTCCTTAATGTCCCTGTAGTACCTTGTTTATTGCTCATTTTGCATCTGCTACTGAGTCTTAAATTGGGATTATATACAAATAACACTCAATAAACATACTTTGATTGGGTGTTATTCTAAACCTTGGAGATTAAGAGATGTAATAATCCCAGTCCTCCAGAATCTCATAATCTGGTGATGAAGAAGAGGGAAATAAATTATTACTACACAGTGTGCTGGGTGGTGTAACAGAGGGACCCACAGAAAGAACAGAGAGAATTCACCAATAAATGTATACATCAAACTGTAGGCTTCCTGAGGACAAGGGCCATGTACTCTTTCAACACACATGACTCTGGTTTTCTCACCTGGCACGGGTTCAGAAAATATTGTTTAATTATGTGTTGTTGAATTGAAAGCAACCAGTCTGATAAGTAGTCTGGAAACTATGTTTGCTGGGAAACACTTTAACTAACTAGGCATGTTCCACCCAAAGGAGAGAAGACTAGAGAGGACACGTTAGGCTTCAACTATTTCAAGGATTGTCGCATAGTGGAGGGAATGAACGTATTCTGTAACTTTCCAGAGGGTAAAACCTTCAACCCATTCATCTTGGTTCTGATCTCTGAAATGCTACAGAATAAGTCTCTGACATGCAACATAGACTTAGCATTGCTGAACAAGAAAAAAGTATAGATTTTGACATAAATTGAAATACCATGAATATTAGGGATAAGTTTGATTATAGTTTTTCCAGTCATGTTATTAACCTTCATTATCCTAACATTCACATTTTGTGCTACTCACTGATCAACATCTCACTTATCATAATTGCTAGCTGTAGTTATACCTATAATTTATTTCCTTAAATTTAAAGATAATAGATATTGCTGTGATCTGAATGTCTGTCCCGCTAAAATTCATATGTTGAAATCCTAATGCTCAATGTGATGACATTAGGAGGTGGGGCCTTTAGGAGGTGACTAGGTCATGAGGATGAAGTCCTCGTGAATGGGATTAGTGTTCTTATAAAAGAGACCTCACAGAGCTCCCTAATCCCTTCTGCCATGTGAGGACACAATGAGAAGTCTGCAACCCAGAAGAGGGCCCTCACCGGACCATACTGCACCCTGATCTCAGACATCCAGCCTCCAGAACAGGGAGGAATAAAATTCTGTTGTTGATAAGTCACCTAATCTGTGGTATTTTGTTAGAGCATCCTAAATGAACCAAGACAGAAATGACATCCTTAACTGAAAATCAGAGTTTTGTTCCTGAATATGTATTTCAAATCAGGTAATCTTATTCCACTGAATTAATTGATTAATAAATTTCAACAACTCCCATATTATGAAAACAAAGCCCTTGAAGCTACCCTTGGGCATATGAATTGGGAGCCAAATATCCTGACTAGAGTCTCCTGCAATCTCTGTGCTTCACGTATCACACAGAGGGACACAAAAACGTCATGATAAACATGCCACCAGGATGGAAGAATATTTTGTCATCACAAAAATAAACTATGCTTCCTGTCTTTGGCTAGCACTGTTATCCATCTTTCTAGATTAAGAGGAGGCCCCGTGGACACCCCTGAAAGGCAGGGCATTGGTCCCACCATCAGCTGGATGCCAGGGCCCTGTAGCCTAAGCCCTCCAAACAAAGCAGCATGTGCCCCATGAAAACCGGCTCACTGAGTCACAGATCCTAGTAATTGAAGGAGCCAACATTAACAACAGCATTTAATCGTTCCCCGCTTCCAGCTGCATCCCCAAATATTTATGGAAAAGTCTCTACTTCCACAACCTCCCCCTCCAGTCCCTCCGGAAAATGCTTTCACATTTGACTGCCTCAGTACTGAACCTCTTCACCAGAAGCATCAGTCACTGTCAGGTTTCTGGAGGTGAAATTGCTTTGTGATGATCTTGTTGGTGGCATGAAGATTGAATTGAGGCCACAGAACCCATCTCAGTGGCCTGGGCTCAAGTCACTTTCCAGTCTCCTAAGAGGAATTTCACGTGCTTCTGTTTACCCACTTTGGGCACCCCTAGATTGCTGCCGCTGTACAAAAATGGGCAGGCCGTTGCTCTAATGCTGATACTTTTGATGCTGTTTACAACCCCTGTTAGTGACAGGTCCTACAGAACAGTAATCTGTTAAAATTATAGGTATATATGTAGTCAGATCTCAAAAAATTTACACAGGAAAGATTGAGTCCTTTAATCTTTGAGTTTTAGAAAAATAATGATCTACTATCTAGGGTCCTTTGGAGGGTGATATAAACACAATCTGTCTGTGGCTTTAAAAACACCTTTTGTCCCTGTCTAGCACGACCAGGTTTGTGAAGCTAGAAGGTGAGTTAGAACTAAGACAAATGAATTCAGGAAGCCATCCACTTGTACTCAGTAATAATTGGAAGAACCCATTAGGAAGAAAAGAAGTGATTGTTCCTATCTATTTATCTAATCTGCTTTCACGGAAAAAGATTAGAGTAAACAGGTGTTCTTCTACAAATGCCTTTCTTACTACAGCCCTGGTCCAGCCCAAATTCTGGTGGAAAAGGCCTAGCATACAAATTGTTGGTTAACAACTAGACAATATTTACAGTTGTTTTGGGGGGAGTTGAAAATAATTTTATATAGTGTTTTATTAGATTTTTATCTGGAAAAAATTCACTAATCCTTTTTTTTTTAAAGTCCAATAGTGAAGGAAAATTTCCTTATTCAGAGCTGTTACTGAAAGGGTGACCTTCATTTCCTGACCCTTAGAAGAAACAGTCACTGAATTCAACCATTTATTCAATCAAGAAATACTTCATGAGGGGCTTCCGTGGTGGCGCAGCGGTTCAAAATCTGCCTGCCAATGCAAGGGACATGGGTTTGAACCCTGGTCTGGGAAGATCCCACATGCCGCGAAGCAACTAAGCCCATGCACCACAACTACTGAGCCTGCGCTCCAGAGCCCACGAGCCACAACTACTGATCCCACATGCCACAACTACTGAAGCCCACACGCCTAGAGCCCGTGCTCTGCAACAAGAGAAGCCATCGCAATGAGAAGCCCGCGCAATGCAACGAAGAGCAGCCCCTGCTCGCCGCAACTAGAGAAAGCCCGCGTGCAGCAATAAAGACCCAACACAGCCAAAAAAATAAATAAAATTAATTAATTAATTAAAACTTTATAAAAAAAAGAAATATTTCACGAGGATCCACCAAGTGCCGAGGCCTCGCTAGATGCTGAGGATATGTAAGGATGAGTGAGGTGGAAATGGCTCCTCCTCAGGAACTAAGGTCTAGCAGACTGCATAACTGAACCTCCCAGAGGCTCTTCCTCTACCCCCTTAGAATCATTTACAACCAGTTCTTTCCTGCAGAATATGACCAGAAATAAGGCTTTATTTAACCTTACTTGGAACAAGTTGAGGTATACATAATCAGATAAATTAAAAATATACTGTTATGCATGAGCATTCCCATATTAACAGCTTTAAAACCTTTAAAAGCTTATGTGAGGAAGAAATAGTTCTTGCCTTTGGCGTGATGTTCATGAAGCTGAAGGAGTGATTTCAAGGACTCGGCACTCTCAAACTCCTGAGTGTTCTGGAGGAAATCTTCCGTTTGGTCTATTTTAATGGCAAACTACAAGAGAAATGCAGGGGAAGGACATATGAAAAACTAAAAAACACTGTGCCACTTTTAGTTATTTGTAAACATTTTTCATGAATTAATGGCCTAGCTGATTGTGTATGTGTTTGTGTGATGAGCTGTGTGTTTGTGTGAGCATGTGCTGGCTCACGTGTTTGTACGAGGTTTTGTGTTTGCATGTAGTCAGTTTACAAAGTACTGGGATAAGAACTTTCTTCTCTTTCCTTTGCATTCTTTTCATACCTGGAAATATGTTATCTATGCTGAAGTAAACCAATTTGTTTACTATTCTAATGTGTATTGAAATTTTAAACTAAAATTATTGTGTCCCATAATACAAATACAGCCACTGTCAACATTCTAAAGCAGTTTCTCAAAGAACAACCAGAAAGTTTGTTAAAAGAAACCAACAAAAGTTTGGTTAACCAGTAACCTACATAATTATTAGTAAATTTAACTTAAGAATCCACTTGAGGTTGAAATATAGTTCATTTTTTTCTCTATAATTAGACCTAGAACTAAAAAAGGTAAGTTTCAGAATAATACATAGTCTAATCCCATCTCTACACTTGATTTTAGCCCGAGTGAGGAGAAGTAATGTGTAATCCTATTTCTTATACAAAGCAAAAATACATATATTTGTACAGAAAGTGGTCCAAAAAGATACATAGCAAAGGGTTACCTTTATGAGAATGAATAGGATTAGGGATAGGTGAGGGGTGGTAAACTTTTAGCTTTTAAATCTATAACTTATAATTTTGTTTGCATTTTTATCAATGATTTTATGTACTTTTATAGAAATAAAAATGAAATTAGATGTAGCAAGAATGAAAAATAGAAAATTTCTCCTCTGTTTCAAGAAAAAAGAGAAAGAGCAATTTGACACCCTAAGTGGTAAGGAACATGACCAGTCTCTCTTTTTGCGTTTCTCCATAGAGGAAGTATGAAAGGGAGATGCTTGAAGTGATGTCAAAATTCTCAGGGGAATAACCTTAGGTACAAATTTTAGAAAAGGGCAAAATATACTTGGTTATGCTAGTACAGTATATCCATAGTAGTGGACAAATAACTGGTTTGTTTTAGCACTATGGTTCAAAGGAAATTATTATCATTTATAAGAGCATTTAAATCAACACATTCACCTTTGGATCAGGTGTAGAATAAACTCATAAAGGTGAAGTATCAGTGAGAAAGACACAGAAGCCTATCACAGTGCTTGTCACCTTTTTTCAAGTTTTATCCAAACTCTCATCTTTGGATTTAGTGATATTTAATATTTTTATGTGACTATTTGATTAACAAGATTTACTACATTTTGATTATTACAATAGCCATATAAAAGTCAGTTATAAATGGCATGAAAAGATGAGAGAGCAACTGATGAGCACATCCCCTTTTGAAATGCAGAGAGAGCTTCTACCATCCTGTTAGAACCAGCAGATGGACACCAGCCACTGTCACTTGGGGACACTGTTTCTAAATTGAAGCACAGTGTTTGAGAAGCCTGTGAGCCTGAAGCCATCTTGTACTATCAACCATGCAATAAGAAGTCATTTTGTATTTCTAAAGAACTCCTGCGTGCACATAGTTCAGTAAGTGGATCCTATCTACATATCGTTTCCATCTCTAATTCATTCTATTTCTAATAGTTGATTTTAAAGACATTCTTTGAAGAGAAACTTAAAAGAAAAAGAATAAAACAAAACCCTGGTGGGTAGTTTGGTTCTCCCTGTAGATCACTACAAGAAGTTTTGGAGTCACTGTGTAACTTATATCTATATTTCAAATGGTTTGACACTTTTTCAAAAACTAACCAATAAATAAACAATGCTTTACTCAGAAAAAGCTTCCTTCAAGTTCTATTAACTTTTATCTTGCGGATATTTTCTTTTCCCTACTTTTCTTCTTTCTGCAGTTAGTACAGGATAGAAGTGGCAACAAGGGGACACTTTTCAAAGACACTATTCTTAATTTCACCCTCATTTCTTTTTTTTGAATCACTAATGAAAATTGCTTTGGCATACACAAGGGGCAGGGAAAATCACGTAGGAGTTTTCCATCAGCTAAGTGTGAAGTAGTCCACAAAACTGAAAGGAGGATAATATATGAAACTTCATCTTTTCATGAGGAATCAGAGTGCTGGGCTGAATTACAGGTTGACTTATACTTCCTTTTATTTCATGTAATATCTGGAAGTCATTTCTCATCATATAGAAAATCAGCTAGTATTAATGCTCCTACCCAGTGAGAAACAAATATTGGACTTAATGTTTAAAAAAAGATAACTTCCTATGCTCAAATGACCTGAATTTCAAGGGCACTAATACTAATACCCCACTTACTAAGATGAAATGAATCAGATGTATCTATAATTTGACCCCTGTAGGTGTATTTTGCTTGGTTTATTTCTTTTCAGGAAAGAAAACTGTGTGTGGAACTTTTCCCCGAGATGATCTGTGAGTTGGACTTCAGTGTTCAAATTGTGAAAAACAAACCTTGTAACTTACAATAAGATTTTTGCTCCTCCTTTTAACTTTTAAACGAGTTCATGATGTATGAAATTATCTACCTCAATTTTAATGTTCTATTACTAATCTTCTTTCCTTCATTATTTTGGATTTAAGTCCTGAATTTTCAGTTTGGAAATGTCATATTTTTCAACCTAGTGCTTTATCATAATGAAGCAGTGCTTTCACATCAAAATGAATGTAGTGAAATTTCCAATAAGTATCTTACACTAAATATAACACCTCTTTTGATAAAGTTCTTTGAGTCTCACATTTTGAAATTGGGTTCCTCAAAAAAACTTAGGCCCAGGGCTTTTTCCTTCTCTTATATTTTAACGAGCTCAAACTATGGAAACTCAACTATATGCCTTAGGAAAGTACCCTATCATATACTATGCTTACAAGTCAAACATTCTATGGAATATTCTGCAATTTCCTTTTCATAAGCAGTAGAAGAAATTGTATCCTCCAACTTTCAGTTAACAAGAACACGCTAGACCAGCATTTCCTAGTAATTCTATCATTGGGGTAATTATTTGATTTAGTAATTGTATTATTATTATCTAAAGAGGGAAATATATCAAAATGACTTGTGGGTAAAAGATCCCATTTTTACTTAATATTTATCAATTTTAATTAACTGTACTTAGTTTTTGTTTGAAGGCCTACATTTAAAATATTAACAATTTTATTTTTTGAAAATTAAAAATTAAGTGTATATATCTTGGTTATTCTACCATTTTTTGAACTGACTACAATGTCTCTTTGCAGAAAGAAAACATTTTCAGGAGTGCTCTGATGTGGAGAAGGGGAAAGTTTTTTAAACACAAACCTCCAAGGCATTTTCAAAAAATTCAGAGGTCAACCTGAGAACCTCCCTCCTTCTCTCAAGCATGGAGACCAGGGCTGCCCATGCTTCACCCAGAGTTTTGGCCATGGCATCATAGACCTGGCTCTGATCCTTGTTCTCTTGAGCCGTCTTGTCTGCTTCCTGCAGGAGTTCCCATACTCGGTCTTCCAAAGCCTAAGTCCAGGCAAGAAAAGGCAGAGTGTCACTCAATATAAGAACTTGGGATCATATTTTAAACATTTGGATTTTTGAAATTATATGCACTCTAGGAAGGTCTAGAGGAGAATTTATAAACACAAACTGCTGTGCAGGCAGGTAGATCAAGCAGGCAGGAGGGAGCAATGGAGATTGTGGTGAACTGCGGAGCATGGCCAGGCTAAAGACGTCCACATTTAAACAATGTTCAAACACTGTAGAGATTTATCAAAAATATACAACTACAGGGACTTCCCTGGCGGTCCAGTGGTTAAGACTCCGTGCTTCCACCACAGGGGGCATGGGTTCAATCCCTGGTTGGGGAACTAAGATCCCGCATGCCACAGCACAGCAACCCCCCAAAAATACAACTACATACCCAGGGGTACAGAATACTGTGTTGACCTCACATTTCAAAAAAGGAGAACTAATTGGAATACATCTGCAAAGGAGTAATCATGAAAAAACTATTGTGAGAAATGAACCCAGTAAAATTTATTATTTATTCTAAATAGTTGTTATTGTTAATATACTTGAGAAGCTTAGTGTAAATGTTATGAGTAAGTTCTTGAAAGTGAATAGTCATAATGTAAAAATTAGAATATCTGTAACCAACACTACAAATTGTTTCAACAAAATATGGAAGATGAAGGGCAACATGTGCTTCCATAATTGTCTCATTTGGGGATAGAAGAAGGATCCCACAGATCCCGTTTTGTTCTTGATATTGGCACCAAAATCAAGGCACAATTTAAAAATATAACAGACTAACAATAACATGAATAAATTCTAAAATGTCAACAGAAAAGGAAACTAAACATGTGCTAATGCAAAATACAACAAAGAAAACAGAAGACATAAGAACGCATTTATTTGGGCACACAAAAACCCAAAATATAATGATAGGAATATGATTAAATATCAGTTAACACCCAAAAAATGGATGTTAACTTTTCAATTAAAAGACGAACATGGGCTTCCCTGGTGGTGCAGTGGTTGGGGGTCTGCCTGCCGATGCAGGGGACACGGGTTCGTGCCCCGGTCCGGGAAGATCCCACATGCCGTGGACCGGCTGGGCCCGTGAGCCATGGCCGCTGAGCCTGCGCGTCCGGAGCCTGTGCTCCGCAACGGGAGAGGCCACAACAGTGAGAGGCCCGCATACCGCAAAAAAAAAGAAAAAAAAAAGATGAACATTATCAGATTAAGGGGAAAAAGTTCAACTAATTTATGTTTGCTGGAGTCATAAAACTAAACTGAAAAGACCTAACATTTGAAAAGACCTAACATTTGAAAAGACATAACATTTGAAAAGACATAACATTTGAAAATAAACTGAAAAGTCATAACATTTGAAAATAAGAGGATGAAATATATCAGGCAAAGACAAAAAAGTAAAGGAGGGTTACCAACGTTAATCTCAGACAAATTAGAAATCAAAACAAAAATCACTGTGATTAAAAAATGGTACTCTATATTGATAAATTACACAATCTGTAGGGAAAATAAGGTACTTATGATGTTTACATTTATGACATTTAAATATTTCAAGTAGGTATACCCAGTCAGATCAAAATGCAATAAAAGTAGAAATAAACAACAAAAGGCCAGATGATAAAACAAATCTCTTAGAAATTTTAAGAAAACAATTTAAAGAATAATTCCTAGATCAAATGAAGGAAAAAAACTACAATTACAGACTATTTAGAAAAAAATAACAATGAGGCTACTATGTTTAAAACCTAAGATATACAGATGACTTTAGGCTTAAATGAAATTCATAGCATTAGGCAACTTTGTTCATAAAGAAAGAAAAAATATATTAATTAAACATTCAAGTCTAAATTATAGAAAAAGATTCATAAAATAAAATTAAAGAGGATTAATTGATTAAATACAAAATCAGAAATTAACAAATTAGAGAAAAATATAAGGAGTTTTTTAAAATGTTGATTCATTGAAAAGCCACCAAATGAAATATAAAAACATCTGATAGGTGGGATCAAGATGGCACAGTAGGAAGATCCTGAGCTCATGTCCTCCCACAGACAAACCAAAACTACAACTAGATATAGAACAACTCTTTCTGAGAAAGACCTGAAGAACAGCTCTTCCAAAATTAAGGACAATTTTTAAAAACCACATCAATATGGGTAGGAGGGGCAGAGATGTGATGTAGTCAGGACACCACACCCACCCTGGTGCAGTGACCCACAAGTGGGAAGGGGTATCACAAACTTGAAGGTCCTCTCTAAGGAGTGAGGGGTTCGAGCCCCACACTGGGCACCTCAGGCTTTGGTACCAGCACTGGGAGGACAAGGCCCCTTAACTAGCTTTGAAAACCAGCAGGGCTTATGCAGAGCTAGAAGGCTGTAAGAAACAGAGTCTTAGAGGGCTTGCACACAGACTCACTCATTCTGAGTCCCAGTGCAGAGGCAGCAGTTTGAAAAGTGCCTGGTGTTCTAGCCAGCCTGCCAAGGTTGCCCCAGCATGCCCCTGGCCCATGCCTGCTCCAGCTCCAGCTGGCCTGCCAACACTGCCCGGCACATGCAGTCTACATAGAAGATGCTCCTACTCAAGACCACACCTTAAAGACTGGGAGAAGTAACTATTTTGTCTAATCCATAGAAAAAAACACAGAAAACCAAACAAAATGAGGAGACAGAGGAATTTATTCCAAACAAAAGAACAAGATAAAACCTCAGGGGAAAAAAAGCCCTGATAAAATGGAGATAAGTAATTTACCTGATAAAGAGTCAAAGCAACAGTCATAGAGTTGCACATCAAACTCAGGAGGGGAGGGCTTCCCTGGTGGTGCAGTGGTTGGGAGTCTGCCTGCCGATGCAGGGGACACGGGTTTGTGCCCCAGTCCGGGAAGATCCCACATGCCGTGGAGCGGCTGGGCCCATGAGCCATGGCCGCTGAGCCTGCGCATCCGGAGCCTGTGCTCCGCAACGGGAGAGGCCACAAAAAAGAGAGGGCCCCGGAACCGAAAAAAAAAAAAAAAAAACTCAGGAGGGGAATGCAGGAACACAGTAAGAACTTCAACAGATTTAGGAAATATAGAAAAGAACCAATCAGAGCTGGAGAATACAATAACTGAAATAATACACTAGACGGGATTAAACCACAAATTAGATGATACAGAAGAACATACACACAGCCTGGAAGACAAAATAGTGGAAATCACCCAATCAGAACAGCAAAAAGAAAAAAGAATTAAAAAAAAATTAGGATAGTTTAAGAAACCTCTGGGACAACATCAAGAGTATTAACATTCAGACTTCCCTGGTGGCACAGTGGTTAAGAATCCACCTACCAATGTAGGAGAAATGAGTTCGATCCCTGGTCTGGGAAGATCCCACATGCCGTGGAGCAACTAAGCCCATGCGCCACAACTACTGAGCCTGTGCTCTAGAGCCCGCAAGCCACAACTGCTGAGCCATCATGCCACAACTACTGAAGCCCACATACCTAGAGCCCGTGCTCCACAACAAAAGAAGCCACTGCAATGAGAAGCACGCACACCACAAGGAAGAGTAGCCCCCACTCACCACAACTAGATAAAGCCTGTGCACAGCAATGAAGACCCAATGCAGCCAAAAGTAAATAAATAAATTTATATTTAAAAAAGAGTAATAACATTCGCATTATAGGGGTCCCAGAAGGAGAAAAGAGAGAGGGGCAGAAAACTTATTTGAAGAAATAATGGCTGAAAACTTTCCCCAAACTAGGTAAGGAAACACAGCTTTCCTCCAAGATCAGGAACAAAACAATGATGCCCATCCTCATCACTTTTATTCAATATAAAATTGGAAGTCTTAGCCATAGCAATCAGACAAGAAAAAGAAGTAAAATGTATCCAAATTTGAAGAAAAGTAGTAAAATTCTCACTATTTGCAGATGACATGATACAATATATATAGAAAATGCTAAAGACTCCACCAAAAAAACTATTTAAACTAATAAATGAATTTAGCAAAGGTGCAGAATACAACATTGATATGTAGAAATCTGTTGCATTTCTATACACTAATAATGAACTATCAGAAAGTGAAATTAAGAAAACAATTCTATTTATAGTTGCATCAAAAAGAATAAAATAAACTATGGATAAATTTAACCAAAAAAGTGAAAAACCTATACTCTGAAAATTGTAAGACACTGATGAAAGAACTTGAAATAAATAAATGGAAAGATATACCACGCTCATAAATCAGAAGAATATTGTTAAAATGTCCATAATACCCAAAGCAATCTACAGATTCAATGAAATCCTTATCAAGATACCCATGGCATTTTTCACAGGACTACAAGAAATAATCCTAAAATCTGTATGGAATCACAAAAGACCCCGAATGCAAAAAGCAATCTTTTTTTAAAAAATAAATAAATTTATTTATTTTTGGCTGCACGGGGTCTTCGTTGCTGCGCACGGGCTTTCTCTAGTTGCAACGAGCAGGAACTACCCTTCATTGCGGTGCATAGGCTTCTTATTGCAGTGGCTTCTGTCTGTTGAGGAGCATAGGCTCTAAGTGCACGGGTTTCAGTAATTGTGGCATGTGGGCTCAGTAGTTGTGGTTCACGGGCTCTAGAGCACAGGCTCAGTAGTCGTGGCACACGGGCTTAGTTGCTCCGCGGCATGTGGGATCTTGCCGGACCACGGCTCGAACTCGTGTCCCCTGCATTGGCAGGCAGACTGTTAACCACTACACCACCAGGGAAGTCCCAGAAAAAGGAGTCTTGTGAAAGAAGAACAAAGCTGAAGGAATCACATTCCCTGATTTCAAACTATACTGCAAAGCTATAGTAGTCAAAACAGCATTGTAATGGGCACATACCCTGAGAAAACCATAATGCAAAAAGAGTCATGTACCACAATATTCATTGCAGCTCTATTTACAATAGCTGGGACATGGAAGCAACTTAAGTGTCCATCGACACATGAATGGATAAAGAAGATGTGGCACATATATACAATG